AGATTTATGGTCATAACTGATTTTATTCTATCATCAGGCTTAAGCTTTGCTTTTACCTTCACAATGTTGTTTTCTTGGTTTGCTTCTGTCACCACTTTGCTATGTAAATTTTATTTTTCAGATTCTTCTTTTTTGGCTTCTTTATTGTTTTTGATCATTACATTTTAAAACAGGAATAAAATTGCTTGCCATTTATTATTTTACCTTATTAAGCCAAATTAATTTTATAAGCATATTATGTAAATGAAAATAAAAATGTTTGAGGCATTGAATTTTTAAAAAACAAAACAAAACAAAAAACTTTTGTTAAATTAAAACTCCACGTTCACAACTTATTTTCATTTTTTCACTGATATTTAACGGTACAAATGATAAAACTGAGGCCACAGTGATTTTATTCCCTTTTATGTTATTTTTACCTGCTATAGGAATATTTATATTATATTTGAATAGGTATACCAAAGAATTTTCCATGTAATCTGTAAATAACAGAAGGGATCAATGTGCAAACAATATTAATTATTGTTGGTAATTAGAATGCAAAAGGTGAAAGCAGAGGAAGGAATAGTAGTTAGAAAATATGGTCTTGGTGATAGAGAGGAGGCTGGAGTATTCTAGAATTTTATAAGACCAATAATTTGTACATACCATTTTTCAAAAACACACAAAGCAACAATACACATGGACGTCTCCAAATAAAATACACAGAAATCAAACTGACTATGTCTGTGGAAAGATGCAGTGGAGAAACTCAGGATCAGCAGCTATGGTCAGGCCAGGGGCTGCTGGGGAACAGACTATCAATTGATCCCAGGTAAGTCCAGTCTGAAGTTGAACAAAACTAAACCAAGGCCACAGAAGCACCAAGTGGATGTAAGAAGAGTCTCGGACACTTGCTCTTACTCAGAGCGTAGCTAAAGCAAACAGAAGAAATGATGAAGTCAAAGATGTGAATAGAACATTTCAGAGGGCAGCTTTAGAAAAGAAAATCAAATATTTTGATGAAATGTCCAAAGAACTAGAGTGAGAAAACTAAAAATAAAGAACATTCTTAGTATACCTGAAAGAACTCAAGGGGAAAAAAAATCAAGCCACTAGTTGCAATATTGAATTAGTTGGGAGGTTGAATCAGCATTGTGTTTTGTCTAAGACACCATACACAATTTATTTAAGCTAAGAATAGTTTCTAATCCTCAGTGTTAAAGCAGTTTATTATATGACAATTATAAGGACTCAAATATTAAAATGATAATTTTCAAAGTGAAAAGGCAGGAGAAGATGGAACGAATACACAGAGTCACTATACAAATAATAATAATAATAGTGGACATTTCACCATTTCAGGGGGTAGCATATGATCAAGAACCAAAGGTGCTGAAGGAAGAAAATCAAGCTGTATTGAAAGCATTATCCAAAAAAGAAGATCCAGGAATTGATAGAATATCATTTGAAATATTTTCACCAGCTGATGAAACACTGTAAGCACTCACTTGTCTGTCCCAGGAAATTTAGAAGACAGCTACTCGGCTAATTAACTAAAAGAGATCCATATTTGTACCCATTCAAAAGAAAAGTAACCTAGCATATGCTCAAATTATAGAACAATACTATTAATATCACATACAAGTACAATGTTGCTGAAGATTATTCAACAACAATAGGGAGTAGCCAGAGGTTCAGGCTGGATTCAGAAAAGGATATGGAACAAAGGCATATAATTGGTGATGTCAAATGAATGTTGGCTGAAAGCAAAGAATACCAAAAAGATGTTTACTTGTGTTTTATTGACTATGTAAGACATCTGACTGTGTGGATCATAACACAGTATGCATAACCTTGGAAAGAATGGGAATTCCAGAACACTCCATGGTGCTCAAGAGGAACTTGTGCATGGATCAAGAGGCACTCGTGTGAACAGAGCAAGGAAATAGTGCATGGTTTAAAACCAAGATAGGTGTATATCAGGTTTGTAACCTCTCACGATATTTATTCAATCTGTATGCTGACCAAATCATCAGAGCAGATGGCTTAGATAAAGAAGAATGTGGCATCAGACCTGGAGGAAAACTTAGCAGAAATGCAATATGAAAATGACACAAATGCTTGCTAAAAGTGAGCAGGACTTGAAGCTCTTGCTGATAAAGATCAAGGATTGTAGTATTCAATATGAATTACTAATCAATGTAAAGACAATTCAACTCCTCATGAGTGGAACAATTGTTACCATCACAAGAAAAGGTTGAAGCTGTCATGGATTTTGTCTTGCTTGAATCCACAATCAATCCTCCTGTAAGCAGCAGTTGTTGCACAAGCCTCTTTGGACTGTTGAAAAGCAAGGGTGTTACTTTGAGGACTAAGGTGAGTCTAATCCAAGCCATGGTGCTTCAACTGCCTCATGCGCATGTGAAAGAGAAGACTGAAGAAGAATTTTGAAATCTTTTGAATTGTGGTGTTGGAGAAGAATACCTAAAATACCATGAACTGCTAGAAGGATAAACTGATCTCTCTTGGAAGATGAACATTGAGTGTTCCTTAGAGGCAAGGATGTCGCGGTTTCTTTTTTATACAATTGGACATATTGTCAGGAGAGAACAGTTTCTACAGAAGGACATCATGCTCGGTAAAAGGAAGAGCCTCAAGGACATGGATTGTCACTGTGCCTCGTGCCTGCAACAACGGGCTCAAATATGAGAACAATTGTGAGGATGACACAGGAGTAGGCAGTGTTTTGCTATGTTATGCATAAGGTCGCTATGTGTGAGTACTGACTCAATGGTACCTAACAGGAACAATGTCGATCATAATTATGGATCACATTGTAATGAATGGAAATTCTAGACCATCTAATTGTATTTGTATGGAACCTTTACCTAGACCCAGATGCAGTCATTAGAACAAGGTGATTTGAATTAGGGTTGGTCAATTATATTAAATATACCATGTACTATCAGAAAAACAAAAAACAATCTATCTGGAAAGAAGTACTGTCCAAATATGTCTTAGAAGAACTATGGCAAGATTTTTTTCACCTATGTTGGACATGTTATTAGGGTGGACCCAACCTTGGAGAAGGACAATGTGCTTCATAAAATGGACAGCTAGAAAAAAAAAGAGAATTTACTCAGCTAGATGAATTTACATAGTGGCTTCAACAATAAGCTCAAGCAGCACTGATTGTGACGATGGCCCTGGATCAGGACTTTTTTTTTTATAGGACTGATATGAGTCAGAACCAATTCGACGGCACTGAAAAACAGTGTATCTTGTTTATTGTCAGCATTTTATTTCTGGTTTCATTTGATTCTGTTTGTAAACGTAATATACATTCTATGAAGTGAATCACTTGATACGGTTCTTCTAGCCATTAAAATAAAAGTCATTGCCATACAGTCGATGTCCACCCTATAGGACGAGTTAAAACAGCCCTTGTCAGTTTGTGAGACTATAACTCTTAATGGGAGTACAAAGCCCCATCTTTCTCTGGTGGAGCTGCTGGTGGTTTTGTACTGCTGACGTTATGGTTAGCAGCTCAATGCATAACCACTATACCACCAGGGCTCCTGGCTTTCCTGACCATGGTCTTTAAAATAACCACCAAATGACTTTTTCCTGATGGGTCTGGGTAGGGCGTGGTAGGACAAGATGTTGCTAGGGTTAGGTGGTTCCATTGTGAGTGACAGTTGACAAGGTGAATTGTGATGGTAAAAGCTTGGAATTCCAATGTAGAGATTGATCAATTCAACCATCCTACCAAGAATAAAATGAACCATCTCAGGAGCAGGAAAGGGAAGAATCTCATTACTACCAAGACAGAAAATCCAGGAGTAGAGTACAGCATTTGGACCCCAAGTTCCCTGTTCATTGAACATCCTTGCCCAGAAAAAGAAAGCTGTGACACCAGGTAAGTAGCAGAAAGGCAGCAGCAAAACCCAGGGCAGGGCAAAGGCAGAGGAATGGATTTCACCATGGAGTTCCTAAAACAGGAAAGGCAGGACGTTTGCTTACAGAATAGAGTGCCAGTAGGCACTTCATTGAGAAAGCTGGGTTTTTCTGACCGATGGAGTTTACTTGGGCTAAGGCTTTTATTAGAATGATGTGCTCTTTAGGCATTTATCAACAGACCAAAAAGAGATTGTAACATTGCCTGAGCAGGGGACTATATGGCTGAGTGGTCAAGAAGAGAGAAAGGTCTGTCTTTGAGCATGGCTGGGAAGAAGCTGCCTTACCAAAGAACTACCTCTATCTTGAACATTTCTGAAACTGAATTATAACCTGTTAACTTCATTAGCAAGCCTTTTTCATATGATGTGAATTCTGTGTGACCATTGCAATGAATTATCAAATCCAACGGGGAAGTCGAAAGGAAGTTAGTGTCAGAATTGGAAAGAAAGATTTGAAAGCAGATATGTGTCTGATCCTTGCCTCACAGGTATTGGCCTGGGGCTGATATGGGGGTTGATTCTCTTTCCCCTTTGTGAAATCAGAGACCAAACACCATCAACCATTCATGTATAAACAGACACATATTTACACAGATATACACAATATAGTATTGATGGGATTCTTCCTTTATTATAAAAACTGGGCCAAGAAGAAAATCATCTATATGGCAAAAACTAATTGAATTCTATCTATTTGGGGAGTAACACCTGTAACTTATATGTAAGTCGGTGACTACATTACAAGAGAAAATTCTTAAATATAGAAATTAAAGTCACCATATTAGTCATATATCATGCTACATTATTATAACTGCTTTGTCTTAAATTCCTTTAAAGTAATGATTAATTTTTTATACATTTTCTTCTTCTTTTTTGCATAGCAACATTTGGATTCCTTTCCAGCCAAAATCATGATCTTTTGTAGGCCCACAATATTTCATTATTAGATAAAATATATTATGATATTTAAATGCCAGGTATTGGGTTACATTTTTATAAAATCATTCAGGTTTCCTTTCTGATCATCAAATCAAATAGGGATATTCAGAACCTACTCACCAATTGAGGTATAAAGGAGTGACCCTGTTGGTTGTAATACTAGTTGTACTTTTATGATCTATTTCAGAACGTCGCTTCTCTTTATCACGGTGTGGAGAACAAGGTAGGAATACAGTTACTGGTTTTTGAAAATGGCATGTTGATGGGTGCTTAATGTGAATCAGAGGGCTTGTAGATACTACTGAGTAGGAAGACTCTTGCTTTGTTAAATATGTCACAAGAGAGGGGTCAATTGGTTGGACCTAGAAAAAGGAAAAAAATATGTATTCATGTGCCAAATACCATATTTTAATAACAGATCTAAAGTATCAGCATATCTCTAAGCCAAGTCTCTGAAAAGTTTATTAAATATAGTTTGAGGTCCACATGCTTTCTTTCAAGTTTGTGCCCAACCACCCTAGACAACAGCACCATAGCATATTTGAATAGATTTAAAGTCCTTTGAACTCATTTGGCAGTCATTCCATACATGCACTCAATTCATATTACATATTCTCAAGGGAAGGACACTTTCACATGATGCATACCAGTTGGTTTTCAGTCAAGTCTGACTCATAGTGACCCCATCTATTGCAAAGTAGAACTGTGTTTCAAGGGGTTCTCAAGAGTGTAATATTTTTCGAAGTAGCTTGCCAGGCAGCTAGGGAGTCTCTGTTAGGTTCTAACATCAGTCTTTCGATTAGTAGTGCCTTGCAGCTCCCCAGGGACTTATATGCACAGTGCCACAATGTTAGAGATCAGTAGACAGATAGCTGCTCTGGAGTCCACACCAACTCATGGTGACCTTATTATGTACAACACAATGAAATGATTGCCTGTTCCTACATCATTCTCACCATCATCAGCATGTTTGAGTCTACTGAGGCTACTGTTTGCATTCATCTCCCCAGTGGTCTTCGTTGCTCTCATATGCCCTCCACCTTACCAAACGCATGTCTTCCTCTAGCAGTTTATCCCTCATGAAGATGTGTCCAAAGTAAGTGAGCCTGGCAATATTGTTTTAAACCATATGGTTTCCATTAGCTAATTTTCCAAAGTATGTAACCAGTCCTTTTAGTCTGCAAGCTCTGTGACCCTGCTAATGTGTAACAAGAATCGTGGTTTGTCTTCCACCCTCACAGAGCGCACAAGCTACCACTGAACAACAAACAGACAGATGGGAGACGAATGCCAATATCAACAAAAAATGAAAGAAAAGAGATTCAAACATTAGGGACATACGGATCCTGGTGCTACTTGGAATATATATGAGGGGGCTTCAAAAAGTTCATGGAACTTTCCATTATCTTTTACTTCCATTTTTCTACAAAATTTTTGAAGCTCCCATATATAGATAATAGATAGGTAGGTAGGTTGGCTGGTAGGTTGGTAGATTGATAGATGATAGATAAATAAATGGTAGATTATTGTAATTGTTGTTGTTATTAGATGCCATCAAGTTGGTTCCAACCCACAGTGAACCTATGCACAACCAACAAAACACTGTCCAGTCCTAAGCCACTTTCGTAATTGATAAATATGCGATACGTTAAAAAACGCAAAGTAACATTCTTAATGATAAGCAATAAATTGACCTGGAAAACAAAATCAGTGTATTACAGATACACGCCTATAAGAACCATAATTGAGATGTGGGAAAATATGAATATAGACCATATAAACAGTGTTGTATTCATAGTTAAATTCTCAGTTTTAACCAGTGCATTATAATTGTGGATGGGAATGCCCTTTTCTTAAGAGAACGAGCTGAAATATTTGGGGTTGCAGTATCTTGATGTTTGACTATGATGAAGCCTGAGATAGATGAATATGTACAGAGAGAAAAAATATGAAAAGTAGCAAGCACTGTTATCACTTTGTTTCTTCTCCCTTTTTTTGATTCATCTCTTAAGTTTAAAGGTTTTCAAAATAAAAAAATGTTTGGGTACTATATATCTTCAAGATCTATCTTCTTCAATATTTATTAACATGCATTGATTAAGTTTACTTTGAGACATTTAACTAAGTTGTATAGGGAAATTGGTCAAATCCATATTCTATTAATTTATCAAAGAACACACAATATAAGCCTCCTTAGAAAAATCTTTCTAAAATCTGGGTTTGCTGTTCTATGTTATAAATAGCTGAAAAATATTCTTAATCCTAGGCAACAAAATGGCCTAGAAAACAGAATGGACATTTTATATAATTTCTAATTAGAACTATTGTTAGATCAAGTGATCTTTAGAAACTGGAAAAACAGACGATATTTATTTAACTATTTTCTCTTACATAACATTGGCTAATAATAATGGTAGTGAAAATTTTTCCAAAATAGAAAAATTCATGGGGAATATTTATGAATAAAGTATTTCGTAAATCTTTTATGCTTTATAAAATGTTTTATATTTAATTATTTGTCCTTACCAATTATAAAAATATACTGAGGTAAATTAAAAAAGTGAAAAAGAGTTGAAGACAGAAGGACAAAAAATATTATTTAAGGAAATAAATCTTCTAAAATGAATTTTTCTACTTTGTATCTACTTTGTGAATAATGTTTATACATATTCAATTCTAATGTTTTATAATTAAATACAGCCAAATATTTATCATTATAAATATTTTCATGGTTTAGACGTATTACCTTTCTCTCATACAAATCATTAATGAAAGACCCAATGTCTATCATCTGCTGTATTATAATTGCTCATATAAAAGAGGTTCCTTTTTTGTTACATGAAGAGATTGTATCTTCTTCATCCTTCAGTACCATGCTTAATGTTCCACAATATCAATTCTACACCTCACCAATTGTTAATGGTTACCTTCAATTGCACAAGCACTGATGAGATGAAAACTCCTGAGGGGTAATTTAAGGCTATCCGAGGGTCCATGCTTGGTTGAAGAGTGAAGCCTTTCTTTGTCACGGTGAAAGACTCTTTCTTTAAACAGGACACCACAGAAAAGATACCCAATTTGTAAACTTTCACTTCGGCACAGGTACCCTGAATGGATTAAAACATAGTAGAATAAACCACAATGCTATTTGGGTATCAGTACTTGCTTCATATCCTCTTTGGACTTGAAAAATATGTTTGCTCTCCATGTCCTCTCCCAGCATTTGACGGATTCCACTAACCCAGAAGGGTGATCAGTCCACAAGATGACAGTGATACTGTCTTTAGCTGTCAAGTCAATGCCGACTCACGATGAGCCCAGGCTCAACACAAAATGCATCTGTTTCTAGGCCATCTTCATGATGAGTTACACATTGAACCACTGTATTCCCCAGAACCACTGTATTCACTGTCGGATTTTCAGAAGTAGATCTAGCTGTTTTTCTAGTCTGTAAGCTCCACCGAACCTGTTCATCATCATAGCAACACACAAACTTCCACTGACATAAGAAAGTGCTTAAGGTGAATTGACTGGAAATCTAAAACCAGTTATCCCACAGGATGGCGAGAATCCTGCTACTGCACCACCCTTGTCCCTGACATGAATGTACACGTACATTATTAGTATTTCTCATATGTGCACTATGAAAAGAGAAAAATCAGAGCATTTCCAAGTAGTCAGCTAATGAACAATCATAATCAGTGCTTGCATAAATACAAATTTCTTCTTGAATTCTAACCTCCTTTAACCAGAAAGGCCTTGACATTTCTTGACTCAAGATATTTTAGGGAATTCCAAGGACTAAAAATTCATCGTTTGGATAATGTACACTAATGTCAGCACCCATACTGTCAGCAAAGTTTTCTTTCTGAAAATTCACCATCTGTTTGGGTCCTGAAATGAGCCTTGGTGGTAGTGTTGGCTGAGCGTTAGGCTGCTAACAGCAAGGTTAGCAGTTCCAACCTATTTATCATTCCTAGGAGAAAGATAAGGTGGTCTACTCCGGCAAAGACTGACAGTCTTGGAAGCCCGAAGAATCAGTTCTACTCTGCCCTTTGTTATTGTTGCTGCTCAGTGCCATCAAGTCGGTTCTGATGAGCAGCAGAAACACCCTGCCCTGTCCTGACTACTGCTCTTTGTCCTTTAGGGTTGGGGCTGATTCAGTAGTAATGGATATTGTTTGGTGTACTGAAATAAAAGTCATTTTCTCTATTTCTCTCCTCTGTGGAAGACTGGTGAGAGATTTTTTAGCTTCTTTTTATTCCATATGATTTAAATTTCTAATGCATATAGGCAGATACATACTCAAGCTCCTTAATCATGCAAAAGGGAGTTGAGTACATAAATGAAAACAAAATGAACAACACATATAATCACCAAGGCTTAAAATGAGGAGGAAGAGTTAGACATAATTTGGTCTATTCATGCTTCCCCAAACACCAGGCAGGCTCCACCCCAGTATGAGTGGATAATCATGTACACACGCACACACACACACACACTTTCAGGACAAACCCATGGAAAATAATGTCTCGCTTGAAAGCTGACTAAGAAGAGATTTCACAATATCACTGCATGAATCTATTGTTGGGATAATCCAGTGCATGGTGGATACTGTGCATTGGCTGCAGGGAAACTTGAGAGGCAAGAAAGGAAGGTCTTCAGGGACCTGCCCTTGGTTCTCATGCTACAGCGTGGAAACCACACTTAGCAGATGTTGACTAGCCCAGAGGTTTTCAGGCCAGGAAACATCATGAACAGAACTCTGACGGTGATTTCTCTGAATCCAGAATTAGAATTCTTAAATGTGATATGACCCACATAAAAATGTTTGGAAGGAATCCAGGCTTTAGCTTTTCTTAAACTAAAAATAGGGATAACACTAAACATTAGAGAACAGTAGAACATAAATAAAGAGAAAAGTCAAAGCCTTTATTTTCCACTGTTGAAAATGTTTGTTTTTTTTTCGTTTGTCTTGGTTATCTATTTATCTATTTACTAAGTACCTTGAATATCCATTTTATGAAAGATACATGTGTTATACACATTTGGGGCTTTTTATCATGACAAATAAATTGGCCATGATTAAAAAGCCCCATTCAAAGGAAGTCCTAGCCAAGCTATTATAGACCACACAGACTTAATATATTTAGTTTTGTGAATGGAACTACATCATTAGATTGTTTTGCTCTCATAATCTATTGTCTAAACTTTATTATAACTCAGATAAAAATTCAGAAAAGGAAAAGATGTATTATAATTTCCTGCATCCATCAAAATCTTTATATTTATGCCCCACCCTTTTCAAATAATGACAGGTTACAGATAGCTTAAGAAGACAACTATTTTAAGAGTTTAGAAATACATTCATTAGGAGTGACAAAAATTTGAAAATGAACAGTATTAATATATAACATGGTGAACATAAGTAATGCCACTGAATTGTACACATAAATATTGTAGACATGACAAATATTTGGTGGCATGTGTTTTACCACAAGGAAAAAAAAAAGCTCAATGGCCTACAGACAGGGGTGGAGTACCAGGAAGCAAGGTAAACACTGGGCTTTCGTGTGCTCACTTACTCATCTGTACTGAATGATTTTACCTGGGGGTGGGGGATGGGGGACATAAAAAACTATGATGTCTGTAGAAAGGTCTTGTAAGGTTAGGGGAGAGACAAATGTCAGCCATATCTAGAAGCAGGGGCTCTGATGGACAGACACAAAACAAAAATTAGTCACTATAAATCAGTAGGCACAGTAGCACAGGCTATTTTTGCTTATTGGGTCATCTGATACTACAGGAAGAATGTTAAATATTAATTCCTATCAAATCTATGCTAAGGTCAATAACTGTGTATAGTCTCTGTTTCTAACATACGTTTTCTCCGTTGTGGAACAGAACAAGAGAATACTGCATGATTGAAGGTGTATGGCAGGTTTGTATCCTCTCACCACACTTACTCAATCTGTATGCTGAGCGAGTCATCAGAGAAACTGGACTATCGGGAGAAGAATGTGGCAACAGGATTGGAAGATGACTTATTAACCACCTGCAATATGCTGATGATACCACCTTGCTCACTGAAAGTGAGGAAGGCTGAATGTACTTGCTCATGAAGATCAAGAATTGCAGCCTTCAGTATGGACTACAACTCAAGGTAAAGAACACCAAATGGACCAATAAGTGACATCATTACAGAGAAAAGGTTGAATTTGTCAAAGATTTTATCTTGCTTCAACCCACAACTGTTGTTCATGGAAGTAGCAGTCAAGAGATCAAAGGAAGAATTGCATTACCTGATTTACCTGAATCTGCTGCATTAGACATCCTTAAAGTGTTGAAAAGGAAGGGTTTTACTTTGAGGACTAGAGTGTACCTGACCCAAGCCATGGAGTTTTCAGTGTCTCATGAGATAGTTAAGGTAAATTGTGCCAACCTGGCCAATAAACACATGTGGGATTAATTGAAGGGCAGAGTGATAAATGGCTTGGTGAGCCTCGCCTTTCTAGTTCTCGGGTCTCTTGTTTGTGATGGTCAGACCAGGGGCAGCTGCCTTAGCCAGTTCCCTGCTTCAGCTGCCAAGACTCACTTCCTGCAAGACATCCCTGAGGAGAAGCCGCATGGATCTACCCCGATGCAGCCCTGGGTCAGGAGCAGCCGTGTGGAGACCACTGCCAGCACTGAGATGCTTACATGCTTACTGACTCGGCTTTCCTCCTGCAGTCGGGGTCATTGCATGTGTTGTATGAGATGGAGGAGGACTTTGTGGATGGGTGTCAGATATATGGGCCAATGTTGGACTCATAGGCTTGGACAGCACTGGGTTGGGATGCTTTCTTAATGTGCACTTACCCTTTTATAAAACTCTCTCTTATACATATGAGTTTCTGTGGATTTGTTTCTCTAGTCTACCCAGACTAACATACCTCATATGTATGTGAAAGTTGGACACCGAATAAGGAAGACCAAAAATAGAATTGATGCATTTCAATTGTATTATTGACGAAGAATACTGAAAGTACCATGGATTGCCAAAGGGACAAACAAGTCTATTTTGGAAGAAGTAGGGCCGGATCACTTCTTAAAGGCAAGGATGGCGAGATTTCATGTTACGTATTTTGGACATGTTGTCAAGAGAGACCAGTCTTAAGAAAGACAGCATGCTTGGTAAAGTAGAGGGGCAGTGAAAAAAGGGAAGTTCTTAAGGAGATGGATTGACAGTGGATGCAACAAGGGGCTGAAGCATAAGAACAATTTTGAGGACGGTGCAGGACCAGGCAGTGTTTTGTGGGGTTGTGCTAAGGGTCGTATGGATCAGAACCAACCCAATGACACCTAAAAACAACAGGCTTCCTTTTATCTTTTTATGTATTATATCTCATTTAATCCTTACAAGCTAATCAGATAAGCACTATCATTTTGTTCAATATTAAAATAAAGACACTGGGTGACATCAAGTATAAATAACTTGTGTAGGTTTTCATAGCAAAAAAAACAACAACTAATTTTCAGCCCAGCAAATCTGCCCCACAATTCACATCCTAACTACTACAGACCCTATTTTTCATGTACAAACTAACTTCCATTTACAGATTTAAATTTCTCACAGACTTACACCACACACACACTTCACTTACTTTTTAATTTTTATTGTTTCACATATTTTCTCAAACCAGGAATGATTACAATTGAACTTGTTACTCCCTGACATTTCTAACAACTTAAAGTTCAGACCAGAAATCCCTCGTACTTGAAATGGTGGTCTAATACTAGTCTACAGCATTAGTTCCTGGGCCACAAAGCTGGTTTTGTTTCCCAGGTTAAAACAATAACATTTGCAATGAAAAATGAAAAACCCAATCTTCAGTCAGTTATTTCCACCCTTTATATGGATGATCAAAAAGCATGAGTGCACTGTCATAAATGTACTTCCATTTGTTACCAATGAGGAAGTGTATTAGCATTATCATCAAGTAATCTAAGTAAGATTTAGAAGAGGAATCAAGCAGCAAATGTTGACAGAGCCAAGGACGTACCAACCTTATAACTTCCTCTTGGGCCTTCTATTGCATTGGTGGTTAGATAACTTGATTGAAGACTTAGGTCTGACACTTTCACCATGACCTCTCTGTAGTTTCCCCTATAACGTGCAGTAAATGGGATTGCAATGCCTATTGGAAAAGGGATGCTCTTGTCCTGAGCTGAGAACTCAATGGCAATGACATTACTGACCAACTCTTCATTATCATTAACTATTAAAGAACTCATGCTATTAATTATTCGGCATTCTAGGTGTTGTAAGACATATGATGGTGCTGTAATAAAGCAAGACACTTGGGGTCCAGTTTCCTCACTCAACACATCAAGAAACCTGCAGAGGAAAAAAATGTAATCTTTAAAACTTATTTCTGAGAGCTTAAAATTACAAACTCAATATCTTCATCAACCTCATATGACTTTGTGTGACTTCTCTCACAATTCTTCCCATTATTGATGTAATTTTGGGCAAGATAATGAATCTTTCCATGCCTGTTTCCTCAACTGTAAAATGATGATAAAACATACCTATCTCCCACCCAACTGAGTTAAATGAACTATTATATGTTAATGTCTTAGAAAGTAGTACCTGGCACATAGTAAATGTGGTATATGTCCACTATTATTAATAGCATTACTATTGCTGTTGTTATTATTTAAGTAGTTTATTCATTCCTGTGTGGTCACACCACAACATAAAAATTACTATGGCTTATTGATAAGCCTAGGGCTAATCCCTGAATGAGGAGCCCTGGTGGTGTAGTGTTATGAGTTGAGTTCCCATCCTCCTGGTCACAGTTCAAAGCCACCAGCAGCTTCAAGGGAGAAAGACTAGATTTTCTACTCCCGTAAACAGTTACAGTTCACAAAACCACAGGGGTCACTATGAGCCAGAAATGATTCGAGGACAGTGTTTGGTGTTTTTGAAATACCTGAATACTTTCCTAAGCTTGGGGGAAATGGGAATCATATATATATGGTATTGGTCTTGTTTTAATACATTAGATTAAATTATAGTAGTTTAAATTAAAGTAGTTATTAAAACTAAAATCTTAATAATACCTAGAAATTACTACAAGTATTATTAATTTACAATTAATCATACTAATTGGAAACAAGAGTATTTACAACCTCAAAAAAATAAATTCAAAAGCCTTATTTGACCATTAATTTTCTTCTTAATTTTTATCTTCATCTTTGCAAAATGGTCAGTCTTATAGATTTGAATTTGAATTTCATACCTATCATTTACTCGTTTCATGTAAATAATTAATTATAATTATTAAATTAATATTTTATTATTTTGTACAGACCAAGTTCTATGATACATATTATTTCATTTCATCTTGATGCCTATGTTTTAATGTAGGTACAACCATCATCATCATTTTACAGATAAGGAAACTAAGGCTTAGAAAATTTAACTTGCTAAAAATCACACAGATGTTAAATTGTTGAACCAATAACAATCTACCTAACTTTAATACTAATGATCAAATTCTGAAATATAATATCATACTTCCTTAATCATTCCAAGGCACTGATTTCTTTATACATCACAAAATGAAACTAATGTCTAATTCACACTAATGTGGTGAGTGAGGGAAATAAAATCTCTCATAATCGCTTCACACATAACGGGTGAAAAATAAATGTTAGATCTCAACATTACAATGATCAATTTGAGTTTCTCCTCTTGTTACCTCTTAGAGAAATGATTTAAATAAAGGCTATATCAATGGGAAATAAGAACTTCTATAACCAGTTTTAGAGTACTAATAACCATCTCAAGAGTATTCATGTGTTAGCTATTTTTCAATCACTGGGAAATTTATTTTTATAGTTCACATGGCATAAAAATCTAAAATATTTGTGGCAGATGCAGACAGAGCCAAGTATATATGTTTACAATACTGAACTCTCAAAGATGCGAGAAGCCATCCAACTTATTTTTTAGTTTGAGAAACTCTGATGATGGTGATAATGGTGAATCACACAATGAGAAATCTTATTTGAAAGAAATTATATGATGTCCCAACCTTGTATAATCTCAAGGATGACACCTCTGAGGTTTCAAAAGGCCTGTGCCCTAGAAACCATCTCAACAAATATTCTCTTCTTCCAGAAAGTTTCTTTCTCATCTGACAGGTGAAGCAGGGCAGGTAGACTAGTAAATGCTTCCTTTCTCTTAGCGGAGATCAAATATACCTTGTCCAGCCTCCAGAATGATCACATTGATTTATTCAAGTCTTGTCTGTCCCTAAAGTCTGTACACATGAGGACAGCCATCGTTAAGAGTGACAGAGTTGTTTCAGAAACCAACCCAAGGGAGGAATCACAACAGATTCAGAACAGGGCTTTGTTTATGACATGAATCTTTTATGTGGTCTGATGCTTTCCTTGCCCGGGGAGGGAGTACAATGAGTTGTCATCGGTTTAAATATGCAAGCCAAGCAAGATTGGTTTGACGCCAGGAAGAGGAACTGGCATTAAGAAACACCTAAAAGAAGTGTTGGGGGAGGGGTTTGAGCAATGACTCATTCCTTGATGCTTTGAGTCATTTCTGAGTGTGAGGATACAAAGTATTATTGTTTTGCATTTTCAAAAGAAACAGGTAACCACAGATTGATTTTCTGGGCAACACTTTTTCAGATCATGGAGGGCTTCCGTGCATTGAACGTACTCAGATTGCTGTGACCTTCATAGAACTCTTTGGATTCTCAGACCTGTAGGGACACCACCGCTGAAGGAGTCAAGGCTTTCATTTAGTAGATGGCGTAGAGACTAGTCTGAGCTCACACTCAGTGTGGGATATTCTACATCGGAAAGAGGAAGAGGAACGAGGGCTGGCAGTGAGGGGAGGGGAGGAAAGTGAAGGCCGTTGAGAATGAAACTAACAGGCCAACATTTAGATCAGTGAGAGAATCAGCAAAGTGGCTTGGTACTTGGCTTTTTACTTTACATTTTACTTTACCAATTAATTCTAAGACATGTGTATTATTTATACAAAATAGAGGAAGAAGTTAAGAAACTAATCAAGTTGCCCAGATTATGAAACTAGCATTTAATAAAATATGAAGTAAAATTTAAGTCCTTCTGACATATGTATATGTATGTGTGTTTGTGTGTAGATATATATGTATATTACTATTCCTCTCTATAAGTATATATCTTATTTACTATTCCTCAATTCTTGTATGGAAATTGTTTACCTCGAAAATTATAATTTGCTAATATTTTTTATTTGAACATACAGCGAATTATTACACAGGTGTCTGAAGGAGGGAAGCCATAAACTTGGTCAGTTATTCTCACATTTTAAAGTCTGCGATTATCTCCAAAAAGATAAAATGAGTATGAATATAGTCATTCCGTTTTAAGAACCTCCCACAGCTTATCCATGAAACCCTAGAGTTCCAGAAACATGGGTTAAGAGCGCATGATGATTGTCTTGGGAATATAAATAAAATTAAAATGATTTCCTAATTTCTGAACACCTTGCAGCCTCTTCGTTTTATCTCCTTGTAATAGATAGAGAAGTAGTGATTTAGGGAAAGTGTTCCTGTTCAAGGTAATTCTACACTGTAACCACTTTCTTATCTAATCAATTCTTCCTCTCTCTAAAGAAACACATTTGCTTCCTAAAGCTACGCGATAAGCAATATCAGTATTAGCAGCCACGTATACTTTATGGGGTAGTTCAAACTGCATTGCTGATTCAGAACAGCTTTGGCAACTATGGAAATATAAAATGTTCTCCATGTTTAAGTACTATGTGTTCTAATTACAAAAGCACACATTTAAATAGGTACATATGATCCCCTTCCCATTGCATTTACTTACTCCTTTTCCATGATGACTTTCTCTGTGCTTTTACCCTCTGAATCATTGGGAAGAAAACTAGTCACATAGTTATTAAAGCCATTACATGTTATTGAGGATGTGGTCATCTCTTCTCTTTGGCTTTCTGAAATCGCTTGAATTTCTCCTTCTGTTGTCTGGCTTATGTTATGAATCTTTTCCCTGTTGTCATTTATGCTCCCAGCAGTCATGTGGTCTATTTGTTTATCTTCTTCATTTTCTGCTTTATCTGGGCACATTTTGTTCTGTGGCTCTCCTTGTCCTGTTACATTTCCACTCAATGATGTGTTGTCCTCTTTTTCCATTAATTCTGAACTCAAGTGTGGTTTATTTAACTGGCCCTGGTTCATGTAATGACTTTCCCCCCCACTTGGAGGGGAAACAGTAGCAGCTTCTATGACATTTAGCTCCCTTCTTCCAGCATGGTCTGTTGCTTTGGTATCTTGAATGACAGGCATTGTCTCTAGCGGACTACATTCATCATGCATGCCGTGTAAATTACACATCTCCTTTTCTTCTTTCTTTAAAAGTGTAGCAGTACTCCCCAAATATCCATTTATTCTCACGAGGCAGTCTCTGACAGGAATGATTTCTACACACACACACACACACACAAAGAAAGAATATCAAACTAAGTCCATTTATATTTCTGCACTGACCCTTGATAGCGTATGGAAAACTAACCTTAGAAATTTCAACAAAAACAAAGAACATTTTTACCATGCATTTTAGTTAAACTCCTTCCTGAAAGCAAAGCCATTTGTATTACTCTCACATGTTAGTGACATTTCTAGGAATAAAGGCATCTAGGCATGGGGAAGAAATTACATTTTAAGGTAGCTGCTGTTTGCTTCAAGAAAGATATTTGTACTCCTGCCCCCCCCCCCACATGTGCATCGAGCAGAACTGTTTCAAAGAGCCTTCAAGAAGCACCTGGTCAGGTCTGTCCGCCAGTGCACCTCTGGGTGGGTTTAAACTTTCCTTATTTAAGCTACTAGTCAAGAACTTAACCATGTGTGCCATCAAGTGCTCTCTGTAAGACAGTTGAAGAGCGTAAATATAATTCCTCTTGTTCACGAAAGTATTTTGGATATTTGAAAACAAGAATCATGAATCCCTGGACCTCTGTTGGGACAGTGGATAAGCACTGCTAAGACAAGGGTCCCCAGTTTGAACCCAGCATCTGCTCCGTGGGAGACAGATGGGGCAGTCTCTTCTACAAATGAGTCCAGACTGGAAACCCTATGGAACAGCTTTACTCTGATCTCTTGGGTTGCTATGTGTGAGAATAGACTGCATGGCAACACATAGGATTTTACGTGAGATTTTTCAACTGAAGTCAACATCACCCTAAATCATTCTTCCATTGGTACTATTTTATGAACGCTATCTTCTCTGGCTGTGCTTTATTATGAATAATCCACTTAAATCTTGGGCCCAAAACAACACTCCACATGAATTTTAACTGAAGGAATACCCTAGTTACATTATTTCTGCTAGATTGGAAGCTGTAGTTTACTAAATGGCTTCTTGGCTGCTGTGAGAGTTAAATTTTGGTTTATACTAGGCCTCCTTCTGATCTTGACATCATTGACAATTACCAAAGGATATCTCTGATCATGTCAGTTCTCTGATCAGAACACGTAATGGCGAATCAGGGACTTTTAAACTAAGCAAGTCTCTTCTCTTTGGTGTCCTCTCACTCCATCGTGATATAATCTCTAACTTCCAGTTCCATTCGCTCCATTTGTTCATCTCTCTTCTCGAGACAGCTGAGGCCACATTGCTAGCTGAGCACCTCACCAAACTTTAAAACCCGTTCTTAACTAAAGAATATGTGATTTAAGACTGTGGCTCAGTGATATTACATTCATCATCAAATTATCTTGCACTAGTCTGGGCTTGTCTTGAAGCTGTAGTCCTGACAGTTTGCGTTTGCAAACCCTGTCTTTATTTTGAACTCGTTCTGGTGGCTGGGCAGCTGAATTCTTCTAGGCAAAATTTTAATTCTCTCCAGAGACTAAGTTTCAAATGGTGGGCTCTCTGCCATACTATCTTTGAACAGATGTCCCCGGTGCTTTCCTTTCAAGATTGACTTGCTTAACCTCATCTCCCTTTGATTCATGATGGATAGGACCTCTCCACTGTCCTTAACACTTGTATTGAGAGTTAGATTTCACGATGTCACCTACCTTCATGCCTGAAGTAATTCTTACAATCTGGCATCATATTCCCTAGATACCTTGCTACTCCTGTCTTAGAGTATTTGTCAGCATCCGTAGTTGCATTTGCTCTATCTTATTGTACAAAGAATAATGGAAAGTCTAATTCCATGTCCCAATCTACCGTAGACTTCCCAGTATTTTTAAAAATTTAGATTTACACAAAAATAAATCTGGTGGTAAAATATTCTATTACTATCTTGGTAAGTTTCTTTTCTTAACTTGGCCTATTCTTGCCTAATTTTAAGTCTTAAATCCTGCTAATAATACCTCTGCCTGGAATGTTCTTTCAAGAGTCCCAGTTTCCAGCTGCAAAATTCCTATTCATTGTTTAAACTTCAGCTTAAATATCACATGTGTGTCAGGAAAATTTTCTACCCTGCCTCTGAAGACAACAGTCTCAAGATTCTTTGGGTTATTGTACAGTTGCCTTATCTTATTTCCCCTTATAGCCCTTACCTTTGCTCGCAAGCGCCTTAGTTCCCCCTCAGACTGGCTACTCAATCAGCATTTCTTTGACAAAGACTAAACAAGAGAAATACTTGCCCTTCCTCCAGATGCACGGGCTCTCCGTGTCAAGCAGTGCCTGCAGATGCTGGCAGGTGGAGTGCACGGTCCCTGCAGTGTGCTCCAAAAGTTGGTGAAGGGCTCCACTGAGATCTTGACCCAGAAAGACCACTGTGGCTAGCCAAGTAGACACACCAGTCTCTTCGTAAAAATCATTGCTAAGGACAGCCTGCTTCAGAGCCAGGTTTTGTCTCCAAATCTGCTTCAATATTTGACCTAGTTTATCTGAGCCCAGGTCTTCTGTATCCATTTTATGCTCCAAAATTGGTATGCTTCTTTCTTGCCAGCAGAGCCTAGAGGTTTAACAAACTCAAGCTTGGCAATGGTTATTTCTCCTAAAATCTAGGAGATGGTCCAAATCAGCTAGCCAAGCATTTCCCTGAAACACAATAGTTTATTCAGCTTGTTGTTCGCCACTGAGAAGTTACCAGGTGACCAGAGGAGGGGCATTTCAGCACCCGGGTGCCATTGTGTACAGACTAGATTAATCACAGGAATAAAGCTAGTTCATAAAATCCAACTCTCTATGTAGGTTTCAGTGTACTCTGGAAGGTCAGTTGAGCAACAGATTCTATGAGAGGATGAGATGTTTACTGATCAAAAGTGAACAGTTTGTAAACTATTCCTAATTAGGCTTCTAGGTGGTACTTATAAATAGTTATATGTGGGCAAGTCAGATAGTATTGCTACTTGGGTGCTGATACATAAGTGCACAGATTTAATCCAAACAATGCATGTGTGTCTCTCTGTGCTCAGTAGATGGCTGCAAACATGTTATTTCAATTAAATAATTCTCTTAACCTCATTGGGGTGTCTTCAAACAAAGGTCCGATCACAACAGTATCTTCTGAGGAGACCTATTGAGCCACTTAAATGCAAAGTACAGAGGCCAGACCAGAAAGTTTTGGGAATCCACAGGAGGAATTTTGATTTTTTGTTTCCTTTGAAGGACACAGGACAAGCATAATGACATTCTAGGAAGATGTTTTAAGGAAACGAGTATGTCATTTCTGGGGGGAAAGTCAGGAAATGTGCATCAAATAAATTTTTTGTCAGTCTTGACAAAGCACTTTCTTATTCTTTAGAATGGGCAGAACTGTCCTAAGAGAAATTCATTGGTAAAATTTACTTCACCTCATCCATCCTTAGCCCTATTCTTTTCCTCTCTGCCTTCTTTTGGTTCCCACACTCAACGAATATTTTTAAGGAGCATGACTTGAGTCTCTCAAGAAAACCAAAACTACCATTTTGATGTGCTGTCGGCCAGCGAGCACAGAGTTCTACAGAACTGCCATCAGGTCGATACCCACTCCTAGTGCCCCATTGAACAGGGCTGGACTGCCCCTGTGCATTTCTGAGACAGTGACTCTTTACAGGAGTAGAATGCCCCATCTTTCTCCAGTGGAACAGCCAGTAGTTTCGAACTGCTGACCTTATGGTTAGCAGCCTAATTCTACTAACCATTATGCCACCTGAGCTTCTTATAGAGAAGGGTTAAAGAAATGGAATCACCACCCTAAATGGAGGATAAGTCAATAAACAATAACTTCATCTTTGATATTTTTGTTAAATATAATTTTCTGTGCTTTATAGCATTGATTTTTACTTATCCTCATATATGAAACGATGTGACATGAGGAGCTTGTTTAAAAATAATATAGGCATGGGGAGTGTAGATGGAATAAAATTGGCTTTAAATTCATTATATATGTACATATATTATATGTTCATATCTATACTGTATATACATCACTACCATCAAATCAGTCCTAACAAAACACCTCTACATAGGATTTCCAAGACTATAAGTCTTTAAGATGAGACAGATAGCCTCATCTATCTCTGTGGATCAACTGGTCGGGGGCAAGTTTTATGTCACAACACCACCAGCTCCGGACTCCTAGCAACCCGATAGGGCAGGGGACAATTGCCCCTGTGGGTGTCTCAGACTATAGAGGTCGAAAGCTTCATATTTCTATCAAGAGCACTGGTGGTTTTTTAATTGCCGACCCGTGGTTAACAGCCCAACGTGTACCCTGCTACGCTACAGGATTCCATACATATATGTATGTTATTTCTGTGGTTCGGGTGTTAAGTCATTTCTGACTCCTAGCAACTTTAAGTACAACAAAAATAAATACTGGCTAGGTGAAACTTTCAACAAGTAGTGTTTTATACGCACATACAACATATATATATATGTTGTATGAGAGAGAGAGAGAAGGAGGGGAGGGCTAGAAGAAGGGAGCAAGGGAGAGGAGGGGAAAGGGGCAAGGAAAGCAGAAGGGAAAAGAGAATATTAAAATTATAAACAATTTAGGAAAATATTTTTTGCTGAAGAGAAGCCCTTTGCTATGGCTTGACATTGCTGTTGTTAGGTGCCATCAAATGACTTTTGACTCTCGGTGATCCTTTCTACAGTAGACTGAAACTCTGCCCTGTCTTATTGTATTCTCGCAATCTTTAATATGTTTGACCCCATTGTTGCAGCCACTGTGTCAATCTCTCTTGTTGATGGTCTTTTTTTAGCTGACCATCCAGTTTACCAAGCATGTCCTTATAAAGGGACTGGTCTCTTCTGATAACATGTCCGAAGTCTACTGGCTGAAGTCTCACCACCCTTGTTTTTAATGAGCATTTTGGCCATATTTCTTCCAACACAAATTTGTTCAATCTTCTGACAGTTCATGGTATGCTCATATTCTTTGCTGACATCACAATTCACATGCATCATTTCTATTTCTGGTCTTTTTATTCACTGTCCAACTTTCACATGCATATGAACAATTCAAAACATAGCTTGAATTAAGCATGCTTTGTCCTCAGGGTGACACCTATACTTTTTAACACTTTTAATAGAACCTTTGCGGCAGATTTGCCCAATGCAATATGTTGTTTAATTTTTTTACTTTTTCTTCCATGAGCATTGATTGTGGGTCCAAGTAAAATGAAATATTTGAAAATATCACTCTTTTTTTGTTTTCATCTATCATGCTGCTGCTATTTTTCCAGTTGTAAAAAAATGCTACTTTATATTGTGTTACAATCTATACTGAACTATATAATCTTTGATGTTCATATGTAAGTGCCTCAAGGCTTCCTCACTTTTAACAAAAGTGTGTCAATGGCATATCAAGGGTTGTTAATGAATCTTCTTCTCCTCCTGATACTGGCTTCTTCATATGATCCAGCTTCTCAGGGTATTTGATTAGTATATAGATTGAATAAATATGATGACGGGATACAGTCCTTATGCAGACATTTCCTGATTTAAAATTACACCCTTGTTCTGTTGGAACAAGTGCCTCTTGGTCTACTTGTAGGTGATGCGTACCACTGAGTGCTCTGACGCTCTCCTTCTCTGCAATGTTCTCTGTAATGTGCTATGACCCACACTTTGTGTCGTCAATAAACACAGGTAAACATCTTTCTGGTACTCTCTGTTTGCAGTCAAGATCCAGGTGACATCAGCAGTGTTATTCCTCATTCCACGTCTTTTGAATCCCTGAAAATTCCCTGTTGGTGTACTTCTGAAATCATTTTTAAATTATCTTTAGCAAAACTTTACTTGTGTATGATATTCATGATATTATTATTCTATAATTTCATAATTCTGTTGGGTCTGTTCCTTTTGAATGGGAACAAATATGGCACTCTTTTATTTGACTGACCAGGTAGCTATGTTCCAAATTTTGGGTGTTGTATTCTTTTATTGAAATATCTCAATGTGTGTTTCAGTTATTTATGAAGCCTTATTTTATTGTCAATACCTTCTATGCAGCATGAACTACTGTATTTAATACCATCCTTTCTTGATTATATGCCACCTCCTGATGTGACTGAATTCTCAGCAATTCTATTTAGTACACTGTTTCTGTGTAGTCCTTCCATTTATTTTGTTGCTCCCTCATGTTCGACATTTTCCCTTTAGAATCCTTCAATATTGCAAGTTGAGGCTTACTTTGTTTCTTCACTTCTTTATGTGTGAGAAATGTTCGACATTTTCCCTTTAGACTCCTTCAATATTGCAACTTGAGGCTTAATTTGTTTCTTCACTTCTTTATGTGTGAGAAATGTAAAATGTTTTCTTCCCTTTGAGTTTTTTTACTCCAGATCTTTGTACATTTCTCGTGGCCCTGCAGGATAGAGGATAGAACTACCCCATGGGAATTCTTAGGCAGTGCATCTTTACAAAAGCACATTACAACTCTTTCTCCTGAGGAGTAGTGGATGGGTTTGAACTGCCAACTTTCAGTTAGCAGGTAGGTGCTTTACCATTGTGCTGTCAAGGACACTTTTACTGTCGGTTAAAAAAAAAAAGCAACCATTTAGTTGATGTTGACTAGTATTAACTCAGTAGAATAGAGTAGGAAAGCCCCTGTGGGTGGCTGAGACTACACTCTTTATGGAGTAGAAAGTCTATCTTTCTCCCAATGGTGCAGCTAGGGATTTTGAAGCACAGGCATTAACTCTAATATTAGTTAGGAGAATATAATTAACACATTCTGATATAGCAAGCTGGCAGTGAAAATGAGATTGGCCGTTGGCATCTTTACTCTCTGATAATTTCCCATTCATTTGAAAAAATGCCCCCAGTAAAAAACAAAACCAACCAGAAGAGTGACTTTCTTTAGACTAACAAGGAGACTGTACCATGTATAATTAAAATGCAGATAGATTAAATTCTCACTAGTGCTTCCCCCGTAGTCAACACATTGCATATGAGATCATTAAAATACAGAAGTTGATATTGGTATCTTGGAGGTGTGGAAAGGAAACCAGACCAGCCTGCTCCCTCCTTTCCAATCTCCTGCTTCTAATAGAGGAGACGATGGCACCAGACATAAAGGGAAGCACATATATTCCACACCGGTGCATCCTTTCTCAGATGTGCCGGAATGAAAATACAGCTCCCCAAAAGGGCACCGGACTGCTTCCTTCCCACAGGCAGCGTGGGAAGCACTGGGGCGCTTACAGCTGCACTTCCAGCGCCTAGAAGATGAGATGGAGAAAACAAATCCCGGGAACAAAGAGGGATGCCCCAGGTATAAATAAATGCCATCCAAGATGCTTCTGCTTTAGACTCTGAGCGAAAAGGAAAGCAGTATTAGGAAAAGAGGAGTTTTCTCCACTACCAGAGATTTTGTTTTTCAGTGAATTGAGGCACACTGGACTTTTTCTTCTTTTCATGTTTTTTCCAAGGTGAGCCCATATCACACATGGATCATATTATTGAAACCCTCTGCAGCC